GTTGCTGAAACAGTTCAACACTCCCCCCTTTTTTAAGTTGAAACGATCCGACTTGGATTTGAAAATAGTTTCAATGCCCCGAAAATGCTTTTTTGAGTCAAATGTACTATTCACCAAACAACGCCACCCAGCTCCAGCTATGAATCCCTTAGCCCCGCTGGTGAGCCATTAGTCAGAGCCTGAGCAGGGATGGGATAGTCCATCAAAAAGACAACTCGAGGGACAAAATGTCACTAGCGCATCACTGATTTATACCCGCCGAGAGTCTGCCCCAAAGAGAGAGAAGGCAGTTTAATGTAATTGGGGTAAAAGCTATTCTAGATTCAAAGGTCAGCTGTTATCAGAGACATGTCAAAGTTCTAGAGGAACCTAACCCAAAGCCCAGTGGAGTCAATGAAAAGAATCCCTTTGTCTTAGGTGAACTTTAGAGTGGGATTCACTTTTAACATAGTAACAAACTGTCAGGACTTATAAATGACACAGTGATATGTTCAAAGCAGACTCTGGCCGCGTGCTCTGGGTTTTTTTTTTTAAATTTTCCTTTGCCTGAGTGCTTCCTCCTGTGAGCTCCCCCTTTCTTCAAGGACTACAGATGGTTGTGGATGGCACACATTAAAGCAATTAGACCTGCAGTTGTCATTTGGCAGGCACGACGACATTCACCTATCAGCATTTTATCTGAATTTGTTTCCCACACAGTTCTCATTTTAGAATGTTGCTGCTCTGTTTACAAATATTTAAAAATCTATTGGCTGGTTATAGGCTGCTCTAGGCAACTGCTGGATATTCTATATAAATGCTGCATTGGTTAGTTGCAACTGGTCATTATTTTTATAACCGTGTTAGGTGACTTTGCAAGCACTTATGGCCTAAATACCTGTGCATGCATATTTAAAATTCATGCCCCATAGATGTTTTGGAAATTATCTCTCCGTGGCAAATAGAGGTGGATAAAACTTGGTTCCACAAATGTCTGCAATTCATCTCTCTGCAGACAGGACTGGGACACTGTTTTAAATGGGAGTTAAGTGGTGCAACTTAGCAGGCCTTTGACAGGTGAATATACTTAACAAGCAAACACAAGCTATCTTAGGGCACAGCTGAAGGAAGTGAAATTATACATTCAAGCAAGAATTAGCAGATGCTGTATATTCATCCACCTTGTGTCATTCTAGAGCTAACCATAGGCCATATCTTCACTAAGGGGAAAATCATAGAATCATAGAACTGGAAGAGACCTCAGAAGGTCATCAAGTCCAGCCCCCTGCTCTAGGCAGGACCAATCCCAACTAAGTCAACCCGGCCAGGGCTTTGTCAAGCCGAGACTTAAACACCTCTAGGGATGGAGACTCCACTACTTCCCTAGGTAACCCATTCCAGTGCTTCACCACCCTCCTAGTGAAATAGTTTTTCCTAATATCCAACCTGGACCTTTCCCACCACAACTTGAGACCATTGCTCCTTGTTCTGCCATCTGTCACTACTGAGAACAGCCTCCCTCCATCCTCTTTGGAACCTCCCTTCAGGAATTTGAAGGCTGCTATCAAATCCCCCCTCACTCCTCACTTCTGCAGATTAAACAGACCCAACTCCCTCAGCTTCTCCTCATAGGTCCTGGACCCTCGCCAATGTGTCCACATCCTTCTGTAATGGGGGGCCTAGAACTGGACACAATACTCCAGATGCGGCCTCACCAAAGCCGAATAAAGGGGAATGATGACATCTCTGGATCTGCTGGCAATGCTCCTCTTAATGCAACCTAATATGCCATTAGCCTTCTTGGCTACAAGGGCACACTGTTGACTCATATCCAGCTTCTCATCCACTGTAACCCCCAGGTCCTTTTCTGCAGAACTACTACTTAACCGGTTGGTCCCCAGCTTGTAACTATGCTTGGGATTCTTCTGTCCCAAGTGCATGACTCTACACTTGTCCTTGTTGAACCTCATCAGATTTCTTGTAGCACAATCCTCCAATTTGTCTAAGTCATTCTGTACCCTATCTCTGCCCTTAAGCGTATCTACCTCTCCCCCCAGCTTAGTGTCATCCGCAAACTTGCTGAGGGTGCAATCCATCCCCTCATCCAGATCATTAATAAAGATATTGAACAAAACCGGTCCTAGAACCGAACCTTGGGGCACTCCGCTAGAAACCGACCGCCATCCTGACATCGAGCCATTGATCACTACCCGCTGGGCCCGGCCTTCTAGCCATCTTTCTATCCATCTTACCGTCCATTTATCCAATCCACAATCCCTTAACTTGCTGGCAAGAATATTGTGGGAGACTGTATCAAATCAATGCTGCCGTGATTGATCTTCTGGAGTTCAATTTAGCAGGTCTAGTTAAGACCCTCTAAATTGAACTCAGAGGGCACTCCTGTTGGCAGCCAGTACTCCTGCTCCTGTGAGGAGTTAGAGAAGCCAACAGGAACATTTGCTCCTGTCAGTCTCCCGCTGTGGGAATGGTGGGGAAACTCAAATCAAGGTAGGTGAACTCCAGCTACATAATTAACAGAACTGGAGTTGCATATCTTGATTCAACCTTCCCTTTTAGTCTAGACCTGGCCTACCTTTCTAAGTGTTGCAGTGCAGAGACTGTCTTTGTGTTCTCTGTAAGTACAGTGCCTAGCCCAATAGGGTGCTAGCAGCGTTCCTTGTAAGCTGAGCGCTTGGGCAGCAGCCCAGAAGAGATTTAAATGCCTGCTCACTTGATTACCAGAGCACCTGCAGCCTCACACAGCCAGTAACATGTGTTTCTATTAGTGGGTGCACATCTGCACATGCCTTGGTGCACAGAACAAAATGTATTCCACCCATGGATGGAAAACCATGGAGGGAACATTGGGTGCCAGGTGTTACGGCAGTACAGTGAATGAATACATTATCATAATATTAACTCTTCAGATTATGGAGAAACATTACCTGGGAGCACCCTGACAGCTCTGAAACAAGAAGGCAATTAAAAAAATGAATTTCGAGCCATTTGGGGTTGGCAATAGTGGTAGAATTAGACTTTTTTTTGTTGAAATATCATGAATATTTTTGTAAAGGTTCATTGTGGCTTGACATACTTTGTTATAAAAGGGTCAATGCTAGGATGCCTTGGGGACCAAAATCCTTTGGATGACGGGGAGGGGAAAGCTGGAATTTTTGCAGTTGTGCAAAAACTCTCAAGCTATGAGAGTGTCTCAGAGGTTGATCCTTTGGGAAGGTAACACATGGGAAAGACCATGTAAAGGACACAGGCCTATTTGGAACAAAGGATGTGGTTTCCCATTTGTTTTCCTCCCTCTCTGCCCTCCTCCCAAGAACATTCTGCTCTTCTCTCTTTCCTCTGCTTTCGGACTTACTCACACTGGACAGTGGGGCTATAACAGGCTTCTACCGAGGTCAAAAATCCCCCAGGTCTCTTGTGAAAAGATTCTTCAGTGTTTACCCAAACCAGGGTGGTCACAGTGCTGTGTAAGCGGCAATGTTTTGCACCATCGCTAAGGAACAAGGCGCTTTTCAATCCTGTGCATTTTGCAGCTGGTTCAAATAGTATTTCCTGAAAGGAGCATGTCCAGGGAAGTGTCATTTTGATGAAGACTGTATTTGGCCGGGGCTGTGAATCTGTGCACCCACCCAGCTTTTAATTGGAGAGCTAGGACCCTGTTCCCCTTCCCAGCCTTCGCCTGTGTGCAATTAACACAAAACAAGTAAATAGAAAGGGAACGTTCTTGCTTCCCGCATGCACACTCTGTCCAAACGGCATTTAACTCCCGAGGCCAGACCCGAGCAACGCCTGCTCCCCACACGTCCAAGGAGAGAATTAACCCCCCCAAAACTCGGCTCTGGGTCCAGTGAAAGCCTTCCCAGCGCCCCCAAGGTTGTCCAGGCGGAAGCAGGCCAGATTAGCCACGATACTCCTGCCTGAATTTTTACTCAACAGCACACAAAGCCTGGGATATTTTTTTGCTCACATCTCTAACAGATTAAATATGAGCAACTTTCTGCGGCACATGAGGGGTGTCAGATGCTACGGGGCTCTGGCCAGCATTGTCACCAGTGCTGATACCATTCCTTTGAGAGCGGAAGAAGGATCCAAATCACAACAAAAGGCGTTTTTTTCACGAATTGCTAGTTGCAAAGGGGCAGCGCTGGAGGACCGAAGAGCGCCCCTCACTGCAGGTTGGGACTGCAGGCCCAACGCATGGAGAAGAAACCCTGCCTGGCTTGGGTGTTGACCTTACAATGGATTGATTTCATTCTCAAGGATCTCAACACAGCTCTGAAACCCAAAGGCAGTCAGGCCAGGACCCAGGAGGCAGGTAGTGCTAGAAATCCTGCCAGCCTTGCTTAGAGGAACACGTCAGAAAACATCGTTTTGCAATCGAGGTGCCTGTGAAACCCGCTGAGCAGGGGGACACTGCCCATTTCATGCATGTAGGCAACGTTCCTGGAAACCCTTGGCACAATGCTCAGGTGAAAGTCACTGACTCGCATCGCTCCTACAGTTCAAGCAGCCCTACCGCCCGCCTGGATGGTCCCTCCCTGGCAAAGCATCGCTCAGAGCAGCTTTTCCGCGGACACACACCAGTCCCCAGGTAGCTCTGCGAGGCAGCGGTTGCTTTCAAACTTCTAGGAGGAATTTACCGCCCGGGCTCTCACAAAGCGCCCCACATACTCAGGGTGAGAATTTTCACGCGCCCCCGCTCTAGAAACGCGCACACACAACGCCCCCGCGGTGCCCGGGCAGCCCGAGACGCATTTCGTGCGGCTGCTTTGGAATCCCGCAGCCGCCTCTCGCCCTGCACAGGTGTAAGGCCCAGCAGGTGTCTACGGAGATACACGTCTCCGTTCGTGAGCACAGAGCAAGGCAGAGGGGTGAAGCCAGAGGCTCCCCGAGAGAAGCGATTGCACCTTCCCTCCCGTTTTTCGATGCAGGGCTGCAGAGAGGACTCCGCTGCGTGTGCGGACCGAGGGGCTGGGGAAGGGAGCCAGCGGCCGGTTCCTTACCTCGATGGCTGGCATACAGGACCACCAGGGCCACCACGGCGCAGGCCATGAGCAGCAGCAGGACGGACAGACCGACGGTCACGAAGCTCCAGGATTTCTTCCCGGATTTGGTCGATTTCTCCACGATATCCATTTGGCTTTCCGACTTCCCCATGATTGTAACTCTGAAACGGGAGGGGTGAGGGAGGATCAGACATTCATAGCGCCAGGCAAGTCACCGGGCGGGTGCGGGAGAGGGAGATCCATGCTTGCTCAGAGGAGAGGGGGCACAGAGCATCCCCGCAGGGGCGGGCGGGGAGGGGGACCAGGCACGGCATGGTTACATGTACTTATCCATTTGGTCGTCCACAGATTTCCCCACGTCGCTCTCCATCTTCAGTGTCTGCAGCACAGCCGGGGCTCGGAGTGTGCGTCTGGGGGCTTCCCTCCGCAGCCCCGGTCTGGGGGGAGGGGATGGGGGAGCGTCTTAAGAATCCTCGTTTGGGGGCTGTTTGGCGAATCTCATGATCAGGCTGGTCCAGTCCCTTCCCCCCCAACGGGGAAGGTGGGCGAGAGACGCCCCCCTCCACCCCTCCCATCCGCGGCGTGCGGCTCCTCGGCGAACTTTCCCCGGGGGAAGCAGGCAGCGCC